CCACAAGAAGGGCTTGGCTGTCACTAGCTCAGGCAACGGCCATCATTTCAGCTGTCAGGAGCCAGCTCTGGCTCTGAGCCCCTAGTTCTGAGCTTTGGAGGTTAAGACAGAGCTTGTCACTGACGCCCAGGAGGTGGTGGTTCTATGCAGAGAAGAACGCACAGAAGAGTCTCCCCAAGCAGCCCAGCCGAGTGCGCCAATCAAAGCCTCGTCCCAGCTCTGCTTGTTTCCCTACAACCAGACGGCCTGAAAGCCGTCTTTTCTGTGCCTGCATGTGCAATTAGGAGGGTTAGGAAGCCACTCTCTTACATGCAGACATAGGACGTTCTGAAATGGGTAAAACAGCTGATAAGGAGGAGTAAGCCTGAACAGAAATTCCTGAAAGGGCCAAGAAAGACTTCCCAACACAGGCAAGCCTTTCCAAAAGCCAAGAGAGAGGACTCCGACTCCAGCCACAGGCCCAGGGCCACGTGCTGGGCCCCGGAGCGTCCTGCTCCTTTGGGCACCCCAGGGCAGGTGCGGCCCAGGACACTCCAGCTCACAGTCACAGACTCACATGTAGCTCTTGCACAGCAGCCGCCAAGGCCCAGGCAGAAACCGCAGGCAAGGACTCGGGAACATCTCTGCCCCTCCGAGGCCCCCATCTGCACTTGCCTAGCTACAAAGAGCCATTCTTGTCATTAGCAGTGTCAAAAGGACACCTTCCCTCTCAATTTGGACCCGGCCTGGCACACAGGGTCACTGATGAGTCATCTGTAACTTGGGGGTAGGGGCCAGGGAGGGTGGATACAAAGCCAGAGGCACGTCTGTGGACAGCAATGTCTGCCTCTCCCGCATGGGACTGAGGGCTGCCCTCCAGGGACAACCTGGGCAGAGAGAGAAGGGTCATGCCCTGCCAGGCCACAAGGAGCTCTCTCTGCCTGGGAAGTAGCAACGGAAAGGACAAATGCATCTGGCCTGTCTGTGCTATAGAGCAGAGCAAGGCCACCAAAGCATCAAAGGGCAACAGCCCCAAAACCAGCAGAGGAAACGAGACCAGCTGTGGCTTAAGTGCGCTGTTCTTGCTTCCTGTGCAACGGTAATGGGGAAAGTCCACTCTTCATGGGACCAGATGAGCCGGCAGCATGAGACGGCTGAGATTTTCAATAGAGATGTAGAAACTCTGAGTTCGCTCTGAGAAATGTTTAACCACAACACAAAAGGGGTGTGTGTGATGCTGGCGCCTGCACTCCCCAGTGCTGTCCTCAGGAAACGGAAGCACCCCGGGACTGCTGATGCCAGGGTTCTCTCAGACCCTACTTCACCAACTGGGGTGGCCTGCATATTTAAACCTTTTAGGAGGCCCTTAGGCCTCTCTCCTCCACACAGAGGTCAGCAGGCCCTCTCTGCTCTGGCTGGATTCTCCAAGGCACCTCCCGGCCCCACCCAAGGCTTGGAGCAGGACTCTCTCTCATGCGATAACCTGGCTGGGTGCTGATTGGGTTCACCTCTGACGGCACAGTTTCCAGCCTGCACTTGGCTTCCAGCTCTTAGAGACCAACACTGCTCAGTAGGACAAGGGAGCCAGGGCCGTTGGACGGCACCCTCCACTCAGCAGCCTGCTCCTGTGCCACTCCATCCTCTCCCGCTCCTCACCACGAGTCTGCCTGCCAACACACAGCAGAGGCCACGAAAGCCTGCCACCAGAGCCACCACAGGGACATGCAACGGGCCCAGCCACGCCTAAGGGCCATACACGGGGAGACGCAAGAAAGGGAGCACATGACAGAAGCACAGAGCCTCCCCCTACAGAGAGGCGTGGCCACCCAGCAGGGCTGCAGAGGCTCCCTCCCTGGTGAAGAGTTCTGGGACCACAGCGTGAGGGGCGCAAAGAGCCAAATACACCCGGTCCCCTTGGCCACAGCAGGACCAGTGCATGGTTGGGGCAGGGCGGGCGCATGGTTTGGACTGATGCTAGGAGAAGCTGGTGACACCAGATTTGTCCACTAGTCTGGGCAGGACTGGGCTGACGTGCATGGAGCTGGGTCCCCAGGGCAACGAGAGCACGCAGAGGCCTCCACGGAGCACAGAGAGCAAGCAAAGCGACCCTGAATTCCTTTGTGTTATTGGTTTTGTTCCTTGTGTGGTTGGGTGTTTTTTTTCTTCTTTTCTTTTAAATAAAAATGCTGCAAGGTTTCCGCCTCTGCGTTCCCCTTGTGATGGCTGGCAGGTGGTCTGGAAGCGTCCGGGTGGCGGCCAAGCCGCGCTTGGGCAGGTGTCCTGGCAGCGAAGGGCAGCCCGGCCGCAGGCCACATCACTGAACCGCGGCATCCGGGTGGCTCTGGTATCGCTGCCTCCAAACCTCCTGGATCTTCCTGCACCACTTGTGTGCATTCCCACTGGGGTCCATCAGATAATACGTCCTGTTAGGCTGCAAAGACAGAAGCCGTTGAGTGTTCCTGAGGAAGTCCCTCCAAAACCCCCACCCCAACCAGGTGAGCTGCCTACTACCAGTCATTCCAAATCCTGGAAGCACATGGGCATGCTGGTTCTTCATTCCACACAGGCAGAAAGCAAATATGTAGGCAGATGACCCACCTGCTAGTCACCACCAAACTCAAAAACAAGCACAGGATGTCTCCTGGCCCCTCGGGACTGAGCTGCTAGTGTGGGTGTCTGGGATGTCGGAAAGGGCAAGGCAGCTGCCCAGATCCCCGCTGCTCCCTCTGGCCAAGGCCCATGGCTTTGTCCCACATGGTGCAAAGCCCTCCCACTACCCTGAACACAGGAATCCTTGGGAACAGACCTACCGTGTGGACAAAGAAAGTTTTAAAATTCTTGGCTTCTGGTCGAAGTTCTTGTGACCAAGGAATTTCACCTTTCAGGACTTTGTTGACAGGATCCACGTAATATAAATGCGGTCCTTCTGTGAGCAACAACTGTCGTCTTCGTGCAAATAAACCCTGATTCCAAAACAAACAAACAAAAAACACACACACAAAAAAAACAGGCCATGCTTATCTGGGCTCAGAGCCAGTGCTGAGAGCATCTCCCGCAGCCTTGAGGGCTGAGCGGCCCCTCAGAGCTGCTCAAGGCACAGGGCCATGGCCACCACCGGTTCACCCACCCGTGCACTCACCCGCGGGCAGTGCACTTCCTGCCCCACCCGGCCCAGTTTCTAAGGTCACAGGCACTGCAGCATAGGTCTCTGCTGCTGAGCTAGCGTGGACAGCCCATCCAAGTCAGGCCCGTGGCTCCCCTAGAAACTCTGCTCTGCCTGGGACAGGAGCCTGCTCTCGGTTGCCAGCCTCCACCGAGCTACACCTAGATCCTTGCCTGTGGAGGATACATGGCCAGGAACGGAGGCCAGAAGCCTGCGCTTGGAAGGGGCCCTAAGTGAGCACATGGAGTCCTGTATTTTCTAACCAAGGGTTAAAGCTAACAGTTACTGGTTTGTGTTCTGCGTGCTCATACTAGAATTCCAGATCTGATGCATCCTACTCTAGAAATAATATGATTGACATTTGAAAAAGGTACAAGATAACCAAATAAATATCTGAGCACATCCACACACCTGCCTGGCTCCAAACAGGAGCAACACTTGTAAGTGCTGAATCCATTTAATCCATAAAATGAACAATCCTTAAATTTTTATTTTATTTATTTATTGATTTATCTATCTATCTATCTATCTATCTTTTCTTAACTCGGCAAACAGGATGGAAACTCATGTTTTTAAAACACTTCTAATAAAATATTAGACCACTGGCTAGGATATCAGACATGGCCTCTTCGACTTGATGGAAACCTCGAAATGGGCAGCCCCAGGATCCCGGGTGTGTGTGAGGCTGCTTCTGCTCTGCCCTAACTGGCCACGTGTGTGGCTCCACATGGCTACTCTCAAGGGGGGTAAGCCTTCCTGAGCTATGAAATCTAGAGATGATCTTTGAAAATCAAGAGAGGGTGAAGGATTCCACGCCACCACACTGCCCTTCTGAGCTGGAGTTGGGGAAGATGCAGGCGTGTGTGGGGAACAGCAGGACCACTGATCACTCACCTTCCGCTTATCCACTGGGCCCATCTTTAGTATTAAATTATTTTCTACAAATTGGTGCCTGTGAAAAGAAACAAGAAAGAGAGGCTCCCGTGAGAATCACAAACAGAAATCTCCATGCTCCTCCCACCACATGAACTCCCTATGCCCTTGGCCTGCCCCTCAGAGCCAGCCTCACTTCAGGACAAGCAGAGAACTCCACATGTAACCCAGCACACACACCACTGCCGTGCAGAGCCTTAATCTGTATTTGCTTGCATATACAGAGTATATTACAGATGGAGCTTGCAGATACCAGAAACAGTGCCTGCTGTCCCCTCACTGCCAGTGGCACCCACATGGCAGGGGAAAGGTGGGGGAGGACCATGCTGTAGAAACGGGCAGATAACACAAGTCACTGCTGCCTTAAAGCTGTGGTGAGGCACAGAACTGCCTCAGGAAAGATGGATGCCCTCAGAGTTGTCAACAGGACAAGATGATCGCCCTCAAGTTACCTCCCAAGCTGGGGGCCCCAATTCAGTGCTTGGGACCAAAAGAGTAGTTTATAATCACAAAGCCCTGAAAGACCCAAGTTGGACTTGCCTTAAGAACATCTTCCTCTGGTATTTCCACCACAGTAAAACACTTTTATTCAAAGATGGCAGAAATTCGAAGAGCAAGCTTCAAATACAGGCTTTGATTTAATATATATTATTAACAAGCACACCTCATTTTTGGTTCCTAAGCCTTCAAGAGATTTTGTTTGTTTGTTCTGAGACGGTGTATCGCTCTATCACTCAGACTGGACGGAGTGCAGTGCTGCGATCTCAGCTCACTGCAACCTCTGCCTCTCTGGTTCAAGTTATTCTCCTGCCTCAGCATCCCGAGTAGCTGGGATTAGGTGTGCACCACCACGCTCAGCTACTTTTTGTATTTTTAGTAGAGATGGGGTTTCACCATGTTGATCAGGCTGGTCTCCAACTTCTCACCTCGTGATCCGCCTGCCTCGGCCTCCAAAAGTTCCGGCATTGAGATTTTTTTTCTTTTCTAAGAGACAAAGTTTTTGAGCGAGGGGCGAAGCGAACCCTGTGGACGGGTGGCAGTTGTCAGGGCTGTTGAGGTGGCAGCGACTCTGCGCCCCCGGCTCTGGATGGAGATGGGGCCGCATCCCCGGCCGGGGCACTGCTGCAAGCCTGGCGGGCAGCTGGACATGAACCACGGCTTCGTGCTCCATAAACGATGGAACCAGATCGCCCAGGACGACCACAACAAGAAGGTGAAGCAGGTGGCCAAGGAGAAGGTGAGGAGGCGGCACACGCCCGCGCCGACGCGGCCCCACAAGCCAGACCTGCAGGTGTACCTGCCGCGACACCGAGATGTCTCTGCCCACCCACGCAACCCAGACTACGAAGAATCCGGTGAAAGCAGCAGTAGCGGAGGCTCCGAGCTGGAGCCTTCTAGCCACCAGCTCTTCTGCTTAGAGTACGAGGCAGACAGTGGAGAGGTCACATCAGTTTTCGTGTATCTGGGCGATGACCCGGGAAGGGTGAGTGAGGAGGTGTCAGCACGCACGCCTCTGGATCCACCCGTGCAAGAAGCCCTCAAGTTGCATATCCAGGAGGAGACTGCAAAGCGCCAGAGCCGACGCTGACCATAGTGAAGGCGTTCTCTCCAGGCTGGAGTCACTGCACTCGGAAGAATTCTGCCCAGGGAGCTCATACTTAGTTTGGGGGTATCAGGACCAGTTTGTCTGACCTTGAGATCCCCAGAGGTGCTGCATCCATAGGGTGTTGCAGGACTACACCTGGCCTGCCTTGCAATCTTTCTTTCTTATATGTTGACCCATTTGCCCAGGCTGATATTCTGGAATTTTTTTTTGAGAGTTTTGTACGGCTAACGTGGTGTTCTAGAAGCAGAGACTCCAGGGAGAACCAGGACTTATGAAGCCTCACACCAACATGGTGCCTTCTCAGCAACGTCATATGCCTGGCTGCGGCTGTTCCACTCAGCTGCATGAGCCATGCTTGTTACTTTATGGTTCTTCTGTGCTTTTGCTCATTTCTACCCATGTATTCATAGACTTTTTTCGGCCCTTTTTCTTTGTTCCTTTCCCTCATCTTTCTGCCTTAGGTAGAATCCATCCGTTCTCCTCCCCCTTCAACATGACTGTGTACCTCCAGCTGCTCAGGACTTTGGAGGTGGGGGGGTTCTGGAGATCTACCCTTCTAACAAACTCTCCAAGTATTTCTCATACCAATAAAGTGGGAGACCTAAAAAAAAAAAAAAAGTCTTGCCCTGTTACTTGGGCTGGAGAACAGTGGTGCCATCACAGCTCACTGCAGCCTTGATGGATCTCCTGCGCTTAAGCCATTTTGCCACCTCAGCCTCCTGAGTAGCTGGGATTACAGGCACTTGCCACCATGCCCAGATACTTTTTTGTGTTTTTAGTAGAAACAGGGTTTCGCCGTATTAGCCAGGATGGTCTCAATCTGCTGACCTTGTGATCCACCCACCTCGGCCTCCCCAAGTGCTGGAATTACAGATGTGAGCCACCACGCCTGGCCAATAATATGTTTTAGATTTGAGGAAGGCATAAGATGACCAAATAAATATCCGAGAACATCCAGAAACATGCCTGTCTGGCTCCAAACAGGGCCAGCAGCACTTTTAAGACCGTCCAAAGTGCGGGCACAACATCCTGCCCCCCGCCACCAGGGTTTACCCAGCCGCACCGTGACCCACCCAGACCTGGGCAGATCAGCATCCAGGCCTGCCGCCAGAGGGAGGCCCCAGGGCCTGGCCTCATGCACACACCCCAGCCTGTGGGTTTGAAACAATGGAGTCTTGAAGCAAGAAGAGTGTGTGACCATGAGGGGAAATGCAGCCCTCCTCTCGCACAGGGACTTTAACAAGCAAACACACACAACCTGGGGCTGGAAACAAAGAGAAACAGATCAAGGAGGTTCCTCAAGAGGAGATGTCATGAGGAGGACCCACCGTAGCACAAAAAGCAGAGCACAGAAACACCTGGAGGAACCAAGGAGCTGGCAGGAAGCCGCTCTGATGGACAGGCCTGTGACAAGGACGCCGTGCAGAGGAAGAACAAAGGGAAATTCATGATAAATTACACCAGGGCAGCCAGCACGGGAGACACAGGGTCCCTTTGAGCCCAGGCCGATCAGAGCTCTTGCGGGCAGATGAGGACAGAGAAGGCCCCATGGCATCTCCCAATCCTCAGCTTTTACCACGCTTCAGTAAGTGCCAGAAGAGGTGACAAGAGACACGGTTTAAAATACCAACTCGAAGGAGAGAAAAACCAGAAGAACACAGCGGGCCATCCCTCCAGCCCACGTGGGAGGGGCCGCCTTCCTGGCTGAGAGTGAGAGCAGCAGCCCAGCCTTGAGCTCCACCTACAAAACCACCTCCATCTACAAAACCACCAGGACCACAGCCGGGGCAGGAAAGGGCTTCCAGATACAGCTGCCACAGGCTGCTGCCTGCACTCCACAGCAAATTCACAGTGCCACGAAGAGGCCTGTCATTCAACAGAAAACTCAGCAAAAAGGCACAAACTAAAAATTCCCAGAAAAGGAATTCAGTGAAACAAAGAAACTCTCAATGGCCCTAAATGAAGAAATGGAGCTGGGCCACTCTGCTCTGATTGGCTGGGCATGACACGGGTGTGGGTGTGCAGCAGTGGTGCTCCTGCTCAACACCGGAGGCCTGGGGAGGACTCGCTGAGGAATCGATTCGGAAATAGGACTGAGAAGCAGTCTCGCTTCCAGAAATCCATTCTGAGAGAAAAAAGAAAACAAAGAGCCCAGGGGCACTCCCAGCAACGTCACCCACGCTAAGGACACCAAAGCCCCAGAGTGGCTCGGCAACAGAACACGCCAGCACCTCAGAAAGGCCAGCAAGGGCCCCACGGACACGTGCCACCCATCCCCTAGCCAGCATCGCCTGCAAGTAACAATGAAATGGACAACATCCATTCCCCTGTGGCCCGGGGTGTGTGGACAGAGACTGCAGGCGAAGCTCTGCTGGTGGCATCAACAGCAGAGCATGTGCGTTCAGTGGACTGACCTGTCAGCTCCCAACACGAAACGGCTCCTTGCTGTCACCTACTTGGAAGTTTGAGTATTTCTAGGAATCAATTTAATATCTTTTTTTCTGAGATGGAGTCTCCCTCTCTTGCCTAGGCTAGAGTGCGGGATCTCGGCTCACTGCAATTTCTACCTCCCGGGTTCAAGTGATTCTTCTGTCTCAGCCTCTTGAGTAGCTGGGATTACAGGCACCCGCCACTATGCTCGGCTAATTTTTGGCATTTTTAGTAGAGACAGGGTTTCACCACGTTGGCCGGGCTGGAATCACCTTGATTTTTTACTTCAAAAAGTCCACTCCTATCCCCCGCCCCCTCAGAGCCCTTTCCTCCCCAGGAGGCTGGATGAGACATCTGAAGACCTGGAGACACACGTAACTACTCGCCATGCATATGGGGCTTTCCGGAGGCGCCTCACTCTCATACACGGCATTTTGGCTCCCTCAAAGCTCCCTCTGCACAGAGGAGGATACAGGGCAATCTACAAAGGGTGACCACAGAAAACCCCCTTCTCTAATGCCAAAGTGGGGGTTCTGGCCCCCTCCTCCATCCACCCTCACCCAGAAACCAAAATGAATACTATCAAGGATCCAAGTCCAAGGCCACTAGCAAAGCACCCACCACGCCTAGGAAAGCCCCAGCAGGGCGCCAGAGCTCCACCGAGGCTTTTGTAACACCTTGGGAGGGCTCTCCAAGCTCAGCTTTGCCGCTAGTGAAGGAGGGACCCAGTGGTGATGGCAGACGGGCCCCAGGTTTCCTCTCCAACCTACCAGTCCCATGGCCCCTCACACTCTTAACCTTTGTGGAAGACCCCACAGAGCTTTCAGATCAACTGACATACTGTATACTGCACAGGAAATCAGAAGTGGGACACGTTGAAATATTTAATTCATTTAAAAAACACAATAAACCCATTAGTATTAACGTAAATAACTTTTAAAGTAACTCCAAAACAAAAATAACCAACAAGGAGAGCGGCCCTGCTGTGTGCTGCGCAGGCCTCTCCTGTCTGGCTGACGAGGAGAGTGGCGGATCCCCACACCTGCCCATGCCCGCACTCCGCCCAGACCTTTGTTTAGGTGTAAGGACAAGAAAAACACCCAGCCTCACTCAGATCAACAGCTAGAAAAGGGAGAAGTGCTCATCCTTTTTAGAGATTTGTCACTTCCTGACCCTTTGGCTAAGAATAAGTGTAGATGTTGGTGGCTATTCTTCGTGGATACTACATCAAAATTCAGAAAGTGATGGCTGCTTCAAGCTTACTTGCAATGTGAAATCTGATTCGTAACAATTAATTTTCATACTCTGTGACACTAAAATCCATCAATCTACCTTACACTAGTGGTTCTTCTACCCTCACGTGATTTTATAGGTCATACAATGGTCATCTGGAAGACAGTGGCTCGCTGAGTTATGTAAAGCTTCCAAATGTTGACAGATTTCATTCTATAGTGTCAACAGATCAGTTCATTGATATCACTATGTATCTCCTCAAGAATAACTTTTGGCCTCTAATCCCAGCACTCTGGGAAGCTGGGACAGCTGAATCACTTGAGGTCAGGAGTTTGAGACCAGCCTGAACAATATGGTGAAACTTCATCTCCACTAAAAATACAAAAATCAGCTGGGCGTGGTGGTACACACCTGTAATCCTAGCTCCTCGGGAGGCTGAAGCAGGAGAATCGCTTGAACCCGGGAGATGGAGGTTGCAGTGAGCCAAGATCGCGCAACTGCACTCCAGCCTGGGCCACAGAGCGAGACTCCATTTCAAAAAGAGAGAAAAGACTTTTAGCCGAGTGGTGCAGTAGCTCATGCTTGTAATCCCACCACTTTGGGAAGTCAAAGTGAGAGGACTGCTTGAGTCCAAGACCAGCCCGGGTAACACAGTGAGACCTTGGTCTCTATTTCTTTTAAAAAATAAATAAGCAACAATAAAAGAATTTTATTGGGAGGGTATCAGGCTCACAGTGATGAATAAATTTACCAAAATTCTAATTTTCACTTGAAGGTTTCAATTTTATCATTGGTATAAATATGGGCAGTTGATTTCCTTAAAGTAACAAGCTCACTCCAATCATTTTCAAGAAAAACATTGGCCAAATAGCTAAGTCTGCACAAGGCTGAGTCCGTCAGACTCAGTTTGCCTGTCAGACGCTCCCTGAGCATAGCAAGCAACAGTCACACAAGCGTGTCTCCCTGAGGCGGCTGCACACTCGTGTTTGCAGCAGAAGTGAGTGCTTTTCTGCGTACTTCCTACCTCATCCTACAAAGCATTAATAACACTCATCGTTTTTAACCAACACTCAGAAGCCAGGCTGGCTTCTGTCCTCTCTCTTCCTGTGGGTGAGTGAAGATAGGATGATCACCTGGTAACGCTTGCAGCCATGGCCTCAAGTCGTGCTCAGGTGCCAGCAGTTCCACCCACCATGGCTTCCGCACCATCAGCACAAATGGGAAAACACGTGTTCTGGAAACAATCACGAAATTCACAAAGGCACTCCACACTCTGACGACGTCAGTGCCATTTGTGCTTTATGGTCAAGCCCTGGGGTAAAAGAACATCATCCGTAGGCTGGGCGCAGTGGCTCAGGCCTGGAAACCCAGCACACTGGGAGGCCAAGGTGGGTGGATCATCTGAAATCAGGAGTTTCAGACCAGCCGGGGCAACATGGTGAAACTCTATCTCTACTAAAAATAGAAAAATGAGCCAGACGTGGCGGCACATGCCCATAATCCCAGCTACTTGGGAGGCTGAGGCCGCAGAACTGCTTGAGCCCAGGAGGCAGAGGTTGCAGCAAGCAGGGATCACCCTACTGCACTCTAGCCTGGGTGACAGAGGGAGACTCTGTCTCAAAAAAAAAGAACATTATCTGTGATGAGAAGCCGGGGGACATAGGCCAAGTGGCAGGTCCACGCTGTCTGTAGACTCATCGACTGTGAGGGAAAAGCACAACTCAGCAGCGGACGTATCAATCCCTTCTTTGTGCTTGCAGTCACATCTTTAATCCAGCAAGTGCCTTTCTTTCTTTTTTTCTTTTTTTTTTTTTTTCCCCAGAGACAGAGTTTCACTCTTGTTGCCCAAGATGGACTGCAATGAATGGTGTGATCTTGGCTCACCACAACCTCCGCCTTCCAGGTTTAAGCCATCTCCTCTCTCAGCCTCCTGAGTAGCTGGGATTACAGGTCTGAGCCACCACACACGGCTAATTTTTTGTATT